GGCGATATATTAGAGAAGGGCCAAATTAAAAGTACCCTTAACCGACGAGCATGCATGAAAAGATTGATGACTGTTAATGAAGCGAAAGAGGTATGTAAGAATCGTAGTAATTGGCGTTCCTTAGTCTCTGCCTACCCCCATGGGAGACAGGCGTGAAGTTATGTATGTATGTATCGTGAGACATACTAAATTAACTAGAACCCCTCTGTGTTTCGAAACTAGTAGAGCTTTTCTCAGTATATTCACGTGAGTAACCCGCGATTTTTAATTAATTTCCATTCGTTAGTCCCGCTAAAACTAGGACGACTGAGCCGATTTAGCTAATTTTGGTCTTGAAATGTTGTGGAAGTCTAGGGAAGGTTTAAAAAGAAACAACAATTGATAGTAAGAAATTTGCCGGGTCAGCTAGTAAATAAACAAAAGAGCAACTTACTTGGGTTGTTGTGTCGAAGGCACTTTGTTCGGCTCCCGAGGGTTATGAGACACCTTCCCGACCGACGGCAGCATATTATACACCTTGGGCTCTCTCTGCCCTATATGCGACGTCCTTATATTGGAGGCCACGTCATTCACTGGAGATATGCAGTTCTCGGCACCCAACAACTCGTCTATACGAGCATAGTCACCATCATTAATGTCATTAGAGTACAAAGCTTCGTTCTGAGAGTTACTCATCACAGTCGTCGTGTCCTGAACCGAAACATAAGAATACCGCGTCCCGTTATTGTTCACCTGCAACTGCAGATTCAAATCTTTATACTTCCCCTTATTTGGCAGTGCGTATATCACCCCCTCAGCATTCGTGTCCCAACTGCACTCCTTGTCAATCAACTCTGCACTATTCTCTTCTATCTTCTGATCCTTCCGAATATCAGTCTTCGGCAGACTTCCACAGTAACTCGCCAACGACTTCTGGTAGTCGTTCAGACTTCTCCGACTCGATATCACCTTCCCAACTGGTCTTTCCGCGTTTGTCTGCTCTGAGAAGGACCGTCGGTACGTTGGGCGGATTTCTGGTGAATTTTGTGCGCTTATCGATCTTCTGAAGGAAGCTCCTAGTGTTGTGCTTCCCGTGGGCCAGTCGGGGACGGTGATCATGACGCCTCCTGACGTAGGGAGTGACGTCGCGCCATCCTTCCCTACCGCAGTCTCGTGCCTACCTAAAGTCGTCACACTGAGGCCCCTAGCATTGGGAATCCGCGCTAAAGGAGACACTCTAGGCGAGAGACAAGCTTCACAATGCGTCCTGATTCCAGAATTTTCTAGAGTACACTTACTGCACGACCACTTCTTTAAATGCAGTCCTCTACTCTGTTCCCTTTGGTACTCTTTCACGTAATTCAGTTCCCAATTGGACTTGCTCTCGTTACACTTCTTGGGTCTTCGTGTCACCGTGTGCAGGCTTCGAAGGAACGACTCTCTAGGATTGCACTGACCGTATCTTTCGGAGACCATCAAACTTGTGGGTCTATTAATGGTTCCTCTGCCACTCTCGTCGACTTTCCACCACTTTTGTTGTGAGTTTATAACAGAGCCATGAGACAGGGATCTGGTGACGCCGTGTGCGTGGTCCGTCAGTTGAGTGGGAGACAGCCGGAGTGACTGCAAGTCGAGGTTCAGTCGGCGACCGTCTGAGTAGCTCGTTGTAGGTTTATATGACGATGGGACAGCCAGGGTGTTGGACCTTATCATAGTGTTGTCTGTAAGGAGAAAAGTCACGTTCAAAAGCATTCTTCAGTTGATCAAATGTAACCGAGTTTTGGAAATGAAAACGCACATACCTTGAGCAGACTTTTCTTTGTCCGTCATCCCTGAAGCTTGATCCTCATCATCAGAGAGCCTGTAATAGCAAATTCACAGTTGTGATTTTATTAAAGTCTGTGTTTCACATAAGAGAAATACTTGATCTCCAATAAGAACCATGTTATAAGAGATCAAAGAAAGAATTACAGACAGTAAAAAGATTTTTCAGCAACTACAAGACCTTATTAGACTTTCAAATTATTGTGTTATCTGTCACAAATTCCTTCTCTTCCTTCAAAAAATACTTTTAAATAGGAGCTCTTTAAAATCCAATAACTAAGAGAACGTATAATAAACAGTAGTTACCTGTAGACAGGCGCGTGTGGCGCGAGCGCGTCGCAGGCGGCGCAGCGCCACGCAGCGGACACGTTGCGCAGGCCGCACGCGCACCGCCACGCGCGCGACGCCTCCGGTGCCGAGCCCACGCACGACCATCCGCTACAAACACAACGGAAATATCTATCACATAGGAAAATAAGCTGAAGTAGTCGAGAACTCTATGGACTGCTCACATTTATCATCCAATCAATGACCAATTGGTAAACCAAACATGGCAATCTTCCTCAAAAATTAAGACTTTGACTGCCAATAAAAAACTGTTGAAGGTAAATCCTCCGCTAACGCCGGTCACCGGTGCCTCCCATGGCGTTTAACGTGTTAACCTATGACCCCCGCATTGTAACTTGATATTATGTATCTGTCTTTCACATCACAATGCACACTGTCTAGAGATAAGATGCTCCTTTGACCATATAGGCAAAACCCCAGACAACAGCTAGGAATATAATATGTAACAATAGAATGTCAGGGAACATATCGGAATTGACACACAATTGTAACTTGTTCATAATAATAGGAATATCCTTCACGGCTCAGATCGCCTTACAAATAAACTAACCATTTCCTATTAAAATGAGCTGAATGTTACATTTATCTATATGAATAAAAATGAGGTTCGTTAGTGTAACTAAAACTTGAGAACGGCTGAATCGATTTACCTAAATATGATCTTTTTAAGGCAGTACAAATCTTGCCGGCTCAGCTAGTTCACTATAAATTCACATTCTACACACACACTCAGACCAGGTTCGGCCGGAGTCACCATTTGCAGATAGAAAACTTATCTTTATATGTAGAGCTTTTTTCCTATGAGGTATGCCACTGTACAAT